TAGGTGCAGCAAACTTCATTGTTGTCTTATTTTAAGAAATTGCCACAGCCACCCCAGCCTTCAGTACCCACCACCCTTATCAGTCAGCAGCCATCAACATCATGGCAAGACCCTCACCAGCAAAAAGATTCTGATTCACAGGAGGCTCAGATGATTGTTAGCATTTTTAGCAAAAAAGCACCTTTAAGTTAGGGTATGCATACTTTTTAGACATAAATGCATTTAGTAAAATGCTATCAAATAGCACCATGTGCTACGCACATGATTTATTTTATAATAAAGTCTATAAAGTGTGTGACTGCACACTTTACAAGGAAACATAAATTTTATACACACTGGAAAACAAAAAAACTCATGTGCCTTGCTTTATTGTGACATTAGCTTTATTGTAGTGGTCTGGAACCAAACCACAGTTTCTCCAAGGTATGCCTGTATATAGACAGATATTGATACACATATATGTGAATGGTATACATACTTCATGTGTGTGTATATGTCTATATATACACACTTATATGTGGCTGTTCTCCACTGCCAGGATGCATCAGGTCCTATGCACTCTGGCACATACTGTTCATTCTAGCCGTAATAACCTTCTCCCCACAGCCACCACTTTTCTATCCTAATTAAGTCTGCTGCCTCACCCTTCGACCTTGCATCTATCCCACAACTCTCCGTCTCCCACAACCTCCACAATGAATTTCTACAACCACAAAATTGTATAAGATCAGGGACTGAGTGACTCCAAATACTATAAAGTGTGACATGGAAAAGCTGAAAATGATAGTGCAGACATATTGTCATCCCACCAAGGAACTATTCTTGAAAGTTTCAGAAACTTTCTGGTCACCGACATGCACAGTTGCTACCTGAGTTCCCTGGACAATCACAAATGCATTCAAGTAAATGTATTAATACAGATAAACAAAAACTACAGTTTCATAGAACTCTTTACTATCTTCAACCACCAACACCTAGCCCTGTTCCTGATATGGACTATAGAATCTTTATGAGGCACGTCTCTTTTGAGACATGAAGCCAAACCAGGAGCAGGCAGTGGACAGATATTTTGGGCTCCACAGGTTAGTTGCTGAAACCTTTCTCTCCTCGTTGGCCAGTGTCCTTGGACATAGAAAGCAGTCCAATTGACCTTACAGCAAACCACCAATTTTTACCATAAAACACAATATGCATCTGTCCAAATAAAACTCTGAAAGTGAGATGACAAGAGCTGAAGACACTAGTTCAAAATCATGTCCCAGCCATTTTTTGAGACATTTATGTTCAGAGAAATAAAAACGTTACTTTTTAGGAATTCCACTCCCTGACAAAATTTCTGATTTGAAATTAATTCCTACTGATAAAAGGACAATACAGAAACTTGCCCCAAATCAGTTACCACAGGAATGACCACCTATCCCAGGAGGTACCTGCTGCATCTGGCACCTTATCTTTGCTCTCTTCAAGTTTTCTTACATGTCAATAACACCTAATACATTAGTACTATTACATAGTGTTAATGCTCATACATAGTGTTTTGTGTCAGGAATTCTTAAAAGCATTTTGCATAGATCCCATTTACCACAATTCTAGAGGTACTTTTCTTTCCACTTTACAGATGAAGACTGAGACACAGAACAGTTGTTGACTAAGATTTGATAATTTATTTCCTCCTTAGACAAGCTGGATTGCTCCCCATTATCTGATTAATTTAAACTTGAGACAGAATATACAAGTCAGATTTCATATTAAAAATCAGATATACAGTTACTGGGATTTCATTTAGAATCCTATCTGGAATTCTAAGGGTCTAAATCTAGGCACAAACTGTGAATAGAAACTATCAGTTGGAGCACAGTAGCAGTTGTCTACATTGGACATCTCCATAGTTGTTCACAGTTGCCACCAGTCACACAAAGTATGCCAGTTCCACTTGCTTCCATTACTGACCTGGCCTCTAAAGGCCTTCACCACATTGCCCTAAAACCGTCATCTGCCTACTTGTCTCCCCTATCCTCCAAGACTAAGCTCAAATGTCACCTCCTCTCATAAGTATTTCCTAATTATTCCAGCTGAAATTTATCTCCAGTTTCTGAATTCCCCCTAGCATTCTGCTTATTATGACATATCACACTCTCCTTTGTAATTAGTTGTGTATAAGCTTCCCTAAGAACAAAGTAGAAACTCTGAGTCAAGGTTAAGTAACCAATTCTGTGATCTTGGGCAACAAAACTGAACATAGCATCCTGTGTTCTAGGATTTGAGCCCTAGATAAATCAGAGTGAGCATTAGCACACTGAAAAGGGTAGAGAGAAGTGACTTTACGTACACACACACACATACACACACATTCTCTCTTCACTCTTCATGCTCTTCTGTCTGCCTACTATTTATGGAAAAATCATGAGACAACTTGATGAATGTGTTATTTTTTTAATAGAAAACACATCACTTCATATGTTACAGTGTGTAATTCAAGAGAGCCCCAGAAAGTTTTTTCATCCACAAAATAATAGAAAGAATGAGCTCCCTTACGACCCAGGGAGTTTTGAAATAAGACCTCCCTGGAAATTCCATGCTGCGTTTGACGTTCTACCAACTTTTCCTTGTTTTCAGCCTTTGGTTCATTTTTTGGTTTTGATCTCTATTCTCTTACCACAATGACATGCTACTTCCAGAATGGAACTCTGTCTTCAAGTTTTATACTAGTTAAGAGGCTAGTCTATCAGCTTGCCTTAATATGTAATGAATGTCCTAATTTAGCTGAGGAACCTGGACAAGTCTTCCTTGATTTCAGCTTCATCCCAAGGCCCATGAATGTTTTCTTTAAAAAGCTGCAAGCGAATGAGGTAGAATGGACAGAGACATGAGATAGATACCAGCAGAAGGGCAAAGAGTACGGCTCCCACAGCACTAATGGACAGCAGGCCTCCCAAGGCTGAAAACGCAAAAAGCAGTGTGACCCCCACATAGCTCCGGGGAGTACATGCCTTTAGTTTCTTCTGTAACATGGGCCATAGGGCAAAAATCTGAATGGCAAATGTCACCATGATGAAGGCATGCAGGGACCGGGGAAGGCGTGATGCCAAGCACACAGAAGCAAAGATGGCCATGTTCAAGGACAGTGTGCTGGATACAATGGCAGCATTGGCACCATAGTCAAAAAAGATGAGATGGCCTAGCAGCATGAAGACTGACATGGCATAGATGGTGTCAGTGCTGACAGACTCTGTCAGGGTCTTTAGCACTGGTGAAAACCCATAAGTGAAAGTAATGAAGACTAGGGCACTCTTCAGGTCAGCCCACCGTGTCTGCCCACTCTTCCTTCGCCCTTCACCTCCATCAATGACATCAAACAAAACATACCCAATGAGTGAAGAAGCCAGGCCAGTCCCAAAAAGCCAATGGGGGGCCAGAAGACCCTCATCCATATACCACCAGATAACTGCAAAAACACAGACACTGCACAGCTGCTGGATCACCACACTGGACTCAAATACCACAGCCCAATATTGGTATTTCCGAGCATGGATGTTTTTCCGAAGCTCTTCCAGGAACCGCCGGTCCACATAGTTATCTGGAAAGGGCTGTCGCTCATACAAGATCTTCTGCCACTTGACCTCCTTGGTGTTAGTTACAGGTTGGGCACACATTATCCTTTCATTCAAACTCAGGCCAGTTTAATCATTGCCCTCACAGAAGTCCAGGTGGCTCCTGTTCTTTATGAAGTTTTGAAATGAGACCTCCCTGGAAATTCCACGCTGTGGCTGATGTTCTACTGAACTTTCCTTGTTTTCAAAGGCAGCAACCCAGGCTAGTCCTACAACAGATGAGTCTGTCTCTGAGGCAGGACAACACAGCCAAGTTCCTAGAAAAAGAGAGACTGTGAAGCTGTGAAAGTTGTGAAAGGTCAAGGGTAGTACTGAGTTAAAGTCAAATCATTCAGTTTACTAAAAGTCTGAGCAAAATGTATGTGGTTATCACCTTATCAATTTGGGATATTGAAACTGCATTTCAGATTTGAAAACTGTAATTCCTTGAATAATAATATACATCTGTTAGCTATCACTTATTGAGTGCCTACTATGTGCCAAGTGCCTTATGTATCTTCTTTCACTTAATCCTCACAATGCAAGTTAGTATTAGTCCTGCTTTAGCAAAAAAGCTAAGATTCAAGATGTTTAAGTAACTTTGCCCTAAGGTAACAGAGCGGAGCCAGCATTCAAACCAGTTTTATCCCAAATCCTGTGTCTCACATTGTATTTCCCTCTAAACCAGTTCATAACTCACTGGTTCACATACCCCTCAGGTATATCACACTGCATGCTTATATCTGCGTCTGTGTAAATTTATAGGGATAATATCCATAGCTGTTATTGGTTCTCAAAGGCATGTTGTTTATATTTTTTAAGTTACCAATCCAAAGGCAATAAATAGTAAGCTGCACTATACAGAAAGATACGAGTGCTATAGTTTATTTAGCCAAAATCAAAGACTCAAAAAAACTAGACTTTTCTTCCATTAGCTGAGCTTAGCATACTTTAAAGAGCTATCATTCTACTCAAAACGGCGAAACTCTTTCGAGGATTGAAGAAGATAATCATCCCTTTTTCACAATGAGAAAACTAAGAATCAGAAACACCACAGCCATCTGGCAAATTAGAGGAAAAAAATTTCATACTGCCCCACCTAACTTCTGCCATGAAGACCCCAAGTGTTGCTTGGCAAGCCAGACACCGTTACCCGCCTCTCTGCTGCGGGGATCCCAGCCCAGGATTCTCAAGGCTGCCGCCGGGGCTGGAGGGTCTGCGGCGCCCAAAAGGGCAGCGCCCGCCCGCAAAGTGGGGTTGGGAGGGGACAGGATAGGATAAGGTGACCCCAGGGGCGCGCCATCACTCTCCGGGTCTCCCACTCCCACCGCCGCCCCTCACCCAGCCTTAGGCCTGCGGGCGACAGCAGAGAAGGAGCCCCGGAAACACTGACGATTACACGGAACCCACCTGCCCGAGAATTCCTGGGGATGTGCAGCTGGGTTGGGGGGCGGTGCGCTCAGCCTTTTTCCCCCGCCGGCGTGCCGGGGATGCGACTGTGGCCGAGTACTTCCGGGTCCGCCGCAATCTCCTCCGCGAGGGTGCCCTGCCCCGGCCTGAGCCACCGCGGCGAGGCTGCTGCCCTCTCCTGGCTGCTCAGAGACCTCCAGGCTCCTCTCCTGAAGATCGGCCTAAACCCGAACGCTCTAAACCTAGGAAAGCAAATCCCCAGCAATGCCCTACAGCAAAACGGGATGTGCCATCTGAAGGGCTGGGTAAAGCAGGAGAGGGACAGGTAAAGAGGCTGGGCCAGTAGGTGAGAGATAATGGCCACTTTCGTTGCGCTCCTTTTATTAAGTCAGGCCCTCAGCTAGGGACTTCCCTGCATCCATGCCTTCATTCCACAGATACTGGCTGAATGCCGGCAGGTAGCAAGCCTTGTTTGGGGTGCTCATGATACAGCCGTGAATGAAACACAAAAATTGCTGCTCTCATGAAACTCTCCTTTTTGTGCATTGATCTTTACACTGATTATATCATCTCCCCTCTCAAAGAGGACAAATCTAAGGCTTAGATAAGTTGTATTTGTCCAAAGACAGGCACCTGGGAAGTAGATGAACAGAGATCAATATCCAGTTGTCTATAACTTCAAAGCTTCGTTTTTTCCTCTTTACCTCCTAAGAGGGGTGAGGAGAAGATTGCTAATTCAAGTGAGTTCACGGAAATATTAAAGGATGTATAAACAGATGGAGGTAATAAAGAAACAAAGGGATGTGGTAAAACACAGGATACACTGGAAACAAAAGTTAGAAAACATGACCCATTTACTAGCTCTGTGACTCAAGTCAGATCACATTGACGTTTCATTTCTTCGTCAGTAAAATGGAGATGACACTATTTGCACTTGGCTACTTTATGAGATGGCTAAAGAGTTAAATATAAAATATAAAAATGTTTTGTAATGTGTTTACTATATGGTTCCTGTTAGCTGGCTTTGGCCATCATAATGAGAGCAATGTTCAAGTGTGATACATTCCGTAAAAATGATCTCTATTTCCCTCTAGGCTTCTGTTCCAAAGTTTGACAAGATTCCTTGGCTTAGTGAGGCCAGCCTTGTAAACAAGCCATTAGTGCTCAGCCTCCCCAGCAGGTAACCTCTCAGCCACTGAGGGCAAAAGTTTTACAAAATGTCTCACAGAAGATGATTTCGTCTTGAGGGATGGGGACAGTTATCAGAGGGCACATTTGATCCATCAGGAAACCCAAGTCAAGTGCTTTAAAAGTAGAAATATTCTGGGTTTCTCAGATGAAAATTATCACTGAATATAGGCCTTACTCTCAATAAGCACTCTATCACTTAGTGCTTTTGTTTCTTAAGACTTTGAGTTTCTTGAAACTCTGATCGTCTACTTTAGATATATTCAAAATTATGTAAAAATAACACAACTGAATAATGAGCACTTGAAAGCACTTGTGCATTTTGTTCTGAAAATACATAAAACTGTCTACCTGTTTACTGAGAATGTGATTTTTTTTCCATGTGTAGTAGACAAAGCAAAGGTGTGTGTTACTAAAGTGGGGATGTGGAGAGAGTGGCTAGGGGAGATGAGATGTCAAATTATTTCCCTCTCAACCACTGCCACTAAACAATGTAAGAGAATTTTACCTCTAGACACTGCTTCTCAAAACACTTCCATCCTCTACCTCACCCCACCTTTTCTCCACGGCTTTAGTCTGAAATTTTCACATTTTTACCATCAAAAGTCTAGAACAATAAATTCCCATCTGTATAGAATAGTAAGTCTGTATGTAATTTTGAGGCACTCTCCTGCAATCCTATTAGTCCTACTATTTCTAGACAAACTGCTATATGACACATAAATCCATTTTTCAAAGTTGCAGGAATTACATGTCTAGGGAGCATTTCAGCTGTCGCTTGAAATAATTGGGTTACCTTGTTCCTCCTCCACTTTTGATGAAATGGTTCCTAAGTGTAGTGATAAACCCCATTCCAGGAAGGGGACATGGACGGAAGGGTGGGTGTGAAGTAATGTTGGGGTGAATGGGAGAAACCAGAAGGAGGGCAGAAAAAGGGCAGGCATGGAGGCCATTCGAAAGGCACATCACAGACTAAAAATGATGGACTCCTTGGCATGTGAGACAGCTCATAAAAGCCAGACTCCCCAAAAAGAGTTTCTCCTCCTGCTGGCAACTACCATGTACCCTCCTGCCCACGGATAAGTGACTTCATAAGTGACTTCCCATCACTCTCTCCACATCCCCACTTTAGTAACACTTCGCTTTGTCTACTACACATTAAAAAAAATCACATTCTCAGTAAACAGGTAGACAGTTTTATGTATTTTCAGAACAAAATGCACAAGTGCTTTCAAGTGCTCATTATTCGGTTGTGTTATTTTTACATAATTTTGAATATATCTAAAGCAGATGATCAGAGGCTCAATAAACTCAAAGGCCTATTTAGGAAACAAAAGCACTAAGTGATGGAGTGCTTATTAAGAGTTGTTAACACTGCGCAGATCAGCATGAGTAAGGACAGTCCAGCATAATTTAATTGCGGATGGAACACAAACTCACAGGCCTATGACAGTCAGATGAGGGGGCATAATGAGTACAGCTGGCCAAATAGGGCTGCGGTGAATGGGAAATCACCTCTCCCTTTCAGCACCCCCCCCCACCCAGTGTTATCTGCAGCCATGTGAGTTCAGAGGCCAAATCCACTGAGTTTTCTAACAGCACTAGAAACCTGGATGTTTTATGTGAAATTGCTAGTATTTGATCTAATAGGGTACTATCCCACCATCCCATAGTACCCCCATGCCCATCAGATCTGCCCTAGCAGCCAAGAGCAAAGCATCCTTGTGCCTGGCTCTCTTGCCCTCAGCTCCCTCGGTCTCTATTTATACAAGCCTTTGGCAGAGGGTGGAGATCAGGGAGAACAGTAGGCCCAGAATACAAATGGGCATCTGCAGCACCTGTTCCCTTTCACAGCCAGGTCCTGGAGGGTCAGAGCAGACAGTCTGTTGACAGCCAGCTGGAAAGGGTAGCTTTTCCTCCAGCCAGCCAAACCTAAGCTAGGTGCAAAGAGAAATCACCTTAGGCAGGCAGTAAAGCTCCACTCATTGCTATTCTGGGGAGCACTGGGGTAGCCATCTCAATTCTTATTTAGAAAATTGGAGTTCACCTATCTCACAAGAATTCTAAGATGATAAACAACATCTTTGAGGTGCCATAAGCTCTCAGGAGGACAAGAAAAGAATGTAAAGTCTTTTGAAAGGATGGTTTGTTTAAATACCAACAGATCTTAAGAATTAGAAGCTCCCCATGTGGCCCAAAGCTCTGGGTTCCACGGTGTTTATTTTTGGCAAAGTCCCTTTCTGAGACTTTGGGAGAAAGTTCTCAATGTGCCTTAAGTATTACATACCCTTAAGCAATGCAGAACAGCCTGAAAAAGATAAAGGAACATTTAGCCAAATATGTCAGAGTAATTCCAACTGAGAGCACTGGAAACACACCCGCGGGGTTGGAGGAGGCGAGGCAGGGCTGTAATAAGTGCCTGTACTGACCTACTTCCTTCAAGGATTCTCTCAGGTTGGTCTGACAGTTTCGAAGCCACACTCATCATCTGTCTCCAAAGCCCTTCAGGTCACACTAAGGTCCTGTTTATGTAAGATTATTGTGTGCTGAAGGAGTTCAAAACTGGCCTCCTGGTGTCTCCTGGTCAAGTCCAAGGCAGCCTATTCCTATATCAAAGACAAAGTCCCTGAGGGAGCTCATGGCAGACCCAACTCCTCCAGTCTCATAGGGCGCAGGGAAATGTGAGAAGAAATGAAAGAAATGCCTCCTGAACATCAAACTCCTTTCATATGCCTTTGTTTTCAATGAATAATGAACAATGAAATCTTTCCTCATTAGAGAGGAGATGTGTTCTTGGCATAACTGCCAGCATTCTGAGTTTCCATTTCTTGGATGCCAGAGGCATGAATGGTGCCACACACACAAACAGTTTAAGATGATCAGATCCCTGCAGGCCTTGGCCCTTTACACTATAATGAAAGGAACCACAATGCCAAGTGAGATAGAGCACAGGCAGATCACTCTGTAAAAAGAACTGGTGTTCTTGCAGCATCACTGCTTCACCTGCTAACGAGAAAGAAAAAAATGTTCCAAAGGAAAGGAATGGGTGGAGGGAGAAGACATTCTGTGGGAGGAAGCAGGTGTGTTGCTTCAGTGTGCAAGGACACAAACTCCAGGAAGTCAGGCCAGGTATAAAAGGGGGCAGGCACTGGTTAAACATCAAAAACTTCAGTGCAGACCCTTTCAAAGAGGAAACCTGGGATTCATTTCACTCGTTACACACCTACTGTTGGGAACAATCTTTATCCTGACTTATTGGTACCCTGTCTGACAATCCAAAACTGGCATTGGTTAGTGTAAAACAAAAGAGACAGAAAAGTCAAAGTGACACAGGAGGGCAAAGCCTTCTTTTGGGAGCCACTCAATGGCCTGAGTCCTCCAGAAGTGGAGTGGGAGACAGCTCTCCATGGTGTCCCTTGTATTTGCTCAGAAACAACCAAGGGCCTGGCTCTTCAAACTGGGGACTGTGGTTCTAACTTTCTCTTGTTTTGATTACTTAGATCTCCTCATTCCTCTGTGACTTTTCTGACTTCATCCAAGAAGAATATGAATTTGCCAAGTTTGTTTCAAGTTCCAGATGTTTTATCTAAGGTACTCAAAATTTTTTAATGGAAATGAAAATTCATTCTAGAATGACATACGATATGAATACATGTCCCATCTTCTTAGCACAGTCCTGTGCTTGGTACACGATCAGTGGTCAATAAATATTTGTTAAGCAAAATGAATGGGCACCACCCCCCTCACTCTGTTTCAAGTGCCTTAGGGCCCCAGTTCACTAGAACTAAGAATACAGGCATAAGGTTAGAATCAACAAAACAGGAAACTAAAAATTAGTATGGAGGAATCTGCCCCAGGACTTTCAGAGACTGCCTGTCAGCGTATGACTGGAACCAATCTGGAGTCTCTAATGCCTCCCCCAGAGGCCTGCTTATGCCTCCCACCCACAACCCCCACACCTGTGGAATTTTACATTAAAAACTCCTCATTTCCCCTCCACCATGACTGGCTGCTAAGTGACACTCAGTGTCACTGTGGAGCAAGCACAGAGGCTACAGCGCTTGGGTAGTCAGGACCTCCCTGAGCTGGAGAAAGAAAACATATGGTGAGATAAGCAGTTTTTTCACCTGAAAAACTATGCATCCCTCACAGGGCTGTCACAGACAGTGCCTGAAACAGTGTCCTAAAGCACTTGACACAGGACCCCACCCAGAGCAAGAGCTCAGGGAATGTGAGCCACAATTATTAGAAGCCCTGGTGACAATCAATAAATGTTTACAGAGGCCTTTGCATTTGCTTTAATACATCAGAGATGAATAAGTCAGTTTCAGCTACGCACATGAGTGAGCAAACATGAGGGGACACTCTGAGAATGCGTCTCAGAGACAGGCCACAGCACTTGTGAGAGAAGGTGGGAGCAAAGGTCACTCCCAGGGTGGGCAAGCAGAGGGGCAGTGAGGGAATGGTTCAGGAGCAAGTGGGATCTGCAAGGGCTCTAGAGGGTACTGTTTTCAAGCAGAGGGAAGAGCCAGGGGTGGAGGAAGAACTGGAAAGAGAAGAGAAGCTGATCAGCAAAGAGGTGGAGACTGAGTGTACAGGAAATGCTTGAAGAACGTCAAGGAACTATGAGCATACATGAAAGGGAAACAAGGACACGGCTGAGCCCAGCTAATGCACACAGGGCCCAACAGCCAAGAGCAGAGAGGGCACATTCCAGGTTTCCAACACCGGAGCGTCACGGGCCAAGCTTTGCTTACGAGTCATCTCTTAGTCCCTCTGACACCCTGGACAGGCAAGGAGGTAACTGGCAACCATGACCTGCACTGGGTGGAGGTGGGGGGAATGAGTGGGGAGGCAGGACTGGCTTAGCGATTGCTGCAGAGCCAGCAAGAAGCCTTCCAGTCATCCAGTTGCTGTGAGCTTCCTATTTAGACAGGTCTCACCTGCCGCTGAACGACACCTCATCTCAGAGTTGTTCTGGATCTCTGTACTGTGGCAACTTACACACATAACACCAGGCCCCAACCTGGTTGGGATGGAGGTTGGGGAAGGAAAGCCAATCAAAACGACCAGGTGCAGGGAGAGGCCATTCTCCGGCTGGGTGTAGCGGGTTTTGTGGCTGCAATATTCATGGTTAGCCACTAGATGGCAGTTAAGAGCAATAGCTTCCAGCTGAGTAGCCTAAAGGGTGCCTGGGAGGCCAGTCTCCCGGCTGACCCGCGAGAAGTGCCAAATCGGTTGGTCCTCCCAAGAGAGAACACAGGTCCCTCAACCTCAACCTCACCCTCATTCTCATCCTGTGGAGGGCTGACCCTCCACTGATTTGTACTTGAGAGTCACCCCTGCAGATTGAAAGGCAACTAGGGAACCCGGGATCCTTGCTCTGCTGGGGCACCAGGCAGATAGCTCCAGTCATATTCTTTCCTGTCACAAAGACGTCTTCAAATTTGAATCTGGCTCCAAGAGTCTACTGCATGGATGAAGGCCTGCAGGTATGTGCCATGAGGTCAACGTGGCTTCAGCTGGTGGCTGCTCCCTTCTGGAAGGAAACTGTTGTGTTTCAAGTGGGTAGAATGTACTGTGGACACGATCTCTTCCTTCATCCTCTAAATCAGGGACTTGCCAAGAAGCTGCTGGCAATCCGGAGGCTAACTGGAGGCCCTGGACCCTGTGCAGAGGTGCAAAGGTCCTGCCATCTGGCTGCCCTCTTCTTCACCGTCACAGGTCAAAGGGCAGAACTTTCAACACCCACTAACTCCTCCCCTGCCCAGGAGCAGCCTCGTGGCAGAGGCAGGTGTACGTGTGCCTGAGCAGTATTTCCTAGTTAATAGATAAAGGGGAAACAGTCTCAGGCACCATGACAGGGAGAGGGAGACAGACAGCAAGAGAGAGAAACACACACAGAGGTGAGGGACAAAAAACACAAAAGGAGAGGCAGGACTATCAAAGAAGAAAGACTTGCAGTGAAAAGCAAGAAATGAAGCCTAAACATTTCCTCATTTAAACATTTACTGTGAGGAAGCTTCTTCATTAGTCATCACTTTCACCTGCCATTTCCAGGCATCCACTCAGGACTCCTCAAGATACCGAGAAACAGAAAAGTGCATCATGCTAGCTGCGTAACTGGGCCAAGAGGTGATGTGACTGACTCAGTGATCCAGGGCAAGGGAACAGCAGATGTGTGGGGGTGACCTGCAAAACTGCAGCTGGAGACTCTGAAACCCCTTTGCCCACTTGCTGGTACTGGGTGGAGCTCGAGCTCCTCAGTTACTAATAGATGATAAAATGCCACTCCACCCTCTCAGTTCCTGCCCCCACTCTTTCTCTCTGCTCACTTTGATCCGTGTTTGTTGTTCCAGTCTAATGAGTAAGAGTGAAGATAAGAACATTATTTATTTTGCTTTTAGCCGACCTGAGGCAAAAAGCCCTGGCTAAAAAGATTGTGCAGTAGCAGAGGCAGAGCTGGGAAGATGTATAGGATGTTGACTTCCTATTTTCTCTCCACTAAGAACTCTCTTTTTATTATTTCTCTCTCAATGGCTAAGTTTTCAAAGCTCATAACTACCAAGGAAACTACCTTATTTACTCCTAAGTCATTTTCATACTTATATTTCTTATATTGATCTGATGCATATAACTACACATACAATTTTAAAGAGAATATTAAATGCTATTGGCCTAAAATAGTGATGTAGTAAAAATCAAATTTAATAAGTCTGAATATAGGGACATGGATATTATTTTGTGTACATTTTTGGGTTTTTTTCCTAGTGAACATGAAGAGTTTTTGAGAGCATATTCAGCTTTATTCTTTAAAATGGCTGGTGTTTTCAGAAAGAAGGAACATGTGTAATACCATAAGGTTTTTGGGGGATATTGAAACCAGTTCTCTGACCACTACTTTTGGGATTCTATGTGGTAGAAATAATTCTGCCATTATGTGGATTCTAAGAGTTTACTCTTCCCCTGAGGAAAGATAATCTGTTGTTGATCCTTTTATCCAAAAACCTTCTAGCTGATTGAAGCTCAATACATGCGGTATTGGACAAATCTTTTAACCTTTCTGGACCACAGCTTTTTCATTGGGTTAATTGAAAGATTTGAACCAGGTGTCCTATGAGGGCTCTCTCAGTTAAGTTACAAGCAGGAAGAAGAAAAGAAACGAGGTGTTGAAGGAAAGAAGGACACAGGCAAATGTGTCAGTACACCACACAGAATGCTGTTTTAATCACCATTTGGTGCTCACATTTTCAGTTTTTACGTGAACAGGTGTGTAAGAGAGAGAAAGAAAGGGAGTGAAAAATAGAAAGAAGGAGGAGAGTAGAGGGAGAGAGAGATGGAGAGAAATATGTTTCTGTCTCTTTGCCAAGGGTTCAAGGAGGCCACAGCCTTGGGCCATGAGCCAGCCCTTAGACACCGCAGCCAATATTGTCCTCAGGTATGAGGATGTTTCCAATTGTAAAATATGCTTTGTCTTCTGGGGACTGGCTGAAATCTGCATCATACCTTGGCCAGGCTCTCACTAGGTTGCTGTCACTCTCCTGTCACAACTGCCATCTGCTGTCCAGAGGACAGCTGCTTGGAAAAATGAGAGCCCCATTAACATTCCGGTGCCTCTGGCTCTAGACCTAATATAACCAGGGCCTTGTGCTATGAACCTGGACAATTCCCTCTCCATTCCTGTTATTACTGCCAAGTTGGCCATAAGGAAACCAGGAGTGAGAAGGGAATGCTGCAGAAGAAAAAGACCTAAGACCCTGGTTTCAGGGCTGGGAAAGAAAGCCAGACAGAATGGAGGAAATGAGGCCTGCAGGACATGGAGTCCCAAATGTTTGCATCACCTTGAAGTAGCCTATCACAGCTGCATTCCATGACTCTTTAATGCCCTCATCCCTTCTCCAGATAGAAATGGAGCAGCTCTTCCTGGAGGTCAGGCCTCAACTGATGGCGAGTCTGAGGTAGAGTACAGCACAGATCAAAGACTGCTTTTTACCTTTACATGTAAAGTGTAAAGGGACAGGATGAGAGTATCCGCCTTTGTCTTTTTGACCCCAAGACCATTATCAGTAGGGAAAGGGAGACCTGGAGAGTTTATATTATTGACAAAAGTCGCCTGAGTTGTTCATGAGCCAGGACTGGAACAGAACTCTTTGGGCATCTATCCAGTGCTCTTCCCCAGCACATTACGTAGAATGAATTTGTTGCACTACAACACTAATGTTCGGTAATATTTCCCTGAAGACAAAAGACAGTGCTATAATAGTGATCTTCGTGTATATATGTATCTTTTGTTTTAGGTAAATATATATACATATATATGTATGTATGTTGTGTCTATATTTAGACCTGATAATTTAAATTGCTTACAATGACTCAGTCATTCACCCAATGTTTGTTGAATACTTACTGTGTGCCAGGTTCTATCATAGGTTCTAGGAATACAAAGATGCATAAAACATGATTCTTGCTCTTTTTTTTTTTAAATTTATCTTATTGCATTTTAGGTATTGGGGTACATGTGAAGGACATGCAAGATTGTTGCATAGGTACACACGTGGCAGCATGATTTGCTGCCTTCCTCCCCATCACCCATATTTGGCATTTCTCCCCATGTTATCTCTCCCCAACTCCCCACCCCCCACTGTCCCTCCCCTATTTTCCCCCTACAGACCCCAGTGTGTAGTGCTCCCCTTCCTGTGTCCATGTGTTCTCATTGTTCAACACCCGCCTATGAGTGAGAACATTCAGTGTTTGATCTTCTGCTCTTTGGTCAGTTTGCTGAGAATGATGGTTTCCAGGTTCATCCATGTCCCTACAAAGGACACAAACTCATTGTTTTTGATGGCTGCATAATATTCCATGGTGTATATGTGCCACATTTTCCCTGTCCAGTCTATCATCAATGGGCATTTGGGTTGCTTCAGGTCTTTGCTATTGTAAACAGTGCTGCAATGAACATTCGTGTGCACATGTCCTTATAGTAGAACGATTTATAATCCTTTGGATATATACCCAGTAATGGGATTGCTGGGTCAAATGGAATTTCTATTTCTAGGTCCTTGAGGAATCACCACACTGTCTTTCACAATGGTTGAACTAATTTACACTCCCACCAACAGTGTAAAAGTGTTCCTATTTCTCCACATCCTCTCCAGCATCTGTTGTCTCTAGATTTTTTAATGATCGCCATTCTAACTAGTGTGGGATGGTATCTCAATGTAGTTTTGATTTGCATTTCTCTGATGCCCAGTGATGATGAGCATTTTTTCATATGTTTGTTGGCCTCATGTATGTCTTCTTTTGTAAAGTATCTGTTCATATCCTTTGCCTACTTTTGAATGGGCTTGTTTGTTTTTTTCTTGTAAATCTGTTTTAGCTCTTTGTAAATTCTGGATATCAGCCCTTTGTCAGATGGATAAACTGCAAAAATTTTTTCCCAATCTGTTGGTTGCCAATTCACTCTAATGACTGTTTCTTTTGCTGTGCAGAAGCTGTGGAGTTTGATTAGGTCCCATTTGTCTATTTTGGCTTTTGTTGCCAATGCTTTTGGTGTTTTGGGATTCTTGCTCTTAAATATAATAACTCAGCCCATTGAAGGAAACAAACACATTTACAAACAAGAATAGTGCAAATACAAAGAAAGCTAGATTGAGTTTATGATGCAATTAAAGAGACAGATACCCAACCGAGGTTAGGAGGGTGAGAAATAGTAGGAGGCCCAGGAGAAAGGTTTTCTGAAGATTTAACACCTATACTATGTCTTAAATGAGTAGTTATCAAGGCCAGGTGGGACAATATATAAGCATTTCATCTTTCACGTTTTAAGAGATGACAGTCATCATGTTATGGGACTCTGTAGTCACATTTACAGTATTCATTAACATAGCAAGCGCTTGCAATAATATCTGTTGCTTGATTTGCAATGAACTGAGATTCTGATTCCTGTGGGGTCTAGTAATATTCTTAGCTGAAACCAGAAGTTTGGAAAAAAGTGAAGGAAATACTTTCAGTGAAGAGTTTATAACTCTACTAAAAACAAACCTGCCCAAGGATTCTTCCATATCTACCTCCCCTGTCCAGGACTTCTCGTCCCTTCAGACTGAGTACAAATTCCATCTCTAGAAGGTCTTTCCTGATTTCTCCAATCAGAAGTGGTCTCTCTGTTTTCTGGAGTCTCCTGAGGTATCACTGGCTCTTGTATGATATCTAGTATGTTCTACCTTAATTGTAGTTTCAGAAAAGTACTTCAGTCTCACACCTCAAAAATGTGAGGGATGGATGGAGCAGCTAGAGCTTCAGGGGATACCACCCCAGAGGTATCAGGAAGACATGGTAGGAAGTTGAATTATCCCAAAGCAGAGGAGTCAATACACACAGACACTTCATCTCTAGTCTCTCTTCTCACTCCATCCATCCTCCCACCAAACAACCTGTCCGTTCTAACCTATATTCACTTACCTGAAGCTGATTTGCTAGGTTCTTCTTTCAGGTTGTTGCGTAGCGTTTCCTGGGCTTGGAACACCCTCCCCTATCCTTGTTCACTCCACAAATACCTACCAAGCATTGCCTGTTTTTTTCACCCTTCTCAGACCCTTCCCTCTCTGTCCCATCCCCAGTTGAGCTCAATGATCCCTTTCAGCTTCATTGAGGCCTCAATATATTTCTGTTGTAGCGTCTTCAGTACCATCATACTTCTTGATGTATAGGCTGCTGGCTGTTGAGCAGCTTGAGGTCACAAACTATATCTTATTTATTTCAGTGTCTCCAGTACCTAATGAATGGGTAAATGAATGGATTTGTATTCTTCCTTTGTCTTCCTTAGAAACTTCCTTCCAGAAACTTTGCCTTATTCATCTGTAGGTCACAGCACCCTTTACTTAGTAGCCTCACAATAGACGTTTGTTGTTGAATGAATGAATCTAGTTATTCACACACGTACTTGGACATACCAACACACAACATTGTAATACTGAGTTGATTCTTTTTAGAGCGCTCTATAAAAATGAAGTGTATTTTAAATATTTGTTAAAAGAATCCCACTTTGTTACTAGTTTTTAGCCCTCAGACTCCCATTGATGCCTCACCTAAGTGCCATATGTCCCTGACAGGATAAAGCTACTTGCAGAATGATCTGGCAAAGGCCATCCTAGGAGCACACCTCAGGAACTCCTCACTTTCTGTTCCTTCTCTTTCTGTTCCCCATGCCTCCCAGGGCAACAGGAATGGGTCAAGGGACACTATGTAGTGATGGGCCAGCAAGCATATCAAATGAAAGAGAAGACTTCAGTCAGTCTTCTCAGTGTGGTTTTCCTCTCCTCCATATGCTGTACCTTGTGTGACCACATCTCATGACTGATGTCAATGTGAATGAGGAAGGTTAAGAGAGAATCCCCAAACATAATTTTAGCCTCAAGTTCCCATTCGCTTCTTAAAGAACCTTTATCAGAGATGCAAATGAGAACCTCCTGAACGAGGTATAAATGCCCAAAGTCCTCTCTTTAACCCTTTTGCAGAAATGAGGTCAGAACAAAAAGCAGTAATTACAGTGAGCAGATAGGGTGCCCCTGCCCTTCTTCCATTGGTTGTTTCTTCACCTGCTGAGACAGCCTCTCTTTCTTGGAGGATTGAAGGGCTCAGGACCCACACAGAAGCTTGAGTTCTGTTTGTGGCTTCATTCATTGTGCTCAGGAGGTCCAGAAGGGCCAAATGGTGCTGGACCATGGACGCATGGGAGCTGATACTGGCTCAGAGTTAAGGCAGGAGAAAGGAGGGCGATGCTTGGCAAAGGTGCGTGAAAAAGGTTTGCGGAAGAGAAGTGTTCTCTTCATGCTTTCTCAGGCCATCAGAGATCCTCAGTCTATATGGCAGAGCCTTTGTGTGAAATGGAAAAAATGGGCCATCTATATGAGAATGCAGCCCCTCAGACATGGGTGCTCAGGCTGGAAAGCAGAGACCCCACTGAATGTCAGGCGCAGCCACCTCTGCCAGCTGTCTTCACATCTGTACCGCTGTATGCAGCAGGCTCGAGACCACCGTTTAGCCTGGGTCTCAGTACCTCCTGCCTAAACTCTCAGGAACCTACCAACAGCAGCACACTCCAGATTCAACATCCACCCTGGATGGGCTGAGACCAGAGTGCCCATCTCTGTTTTACGGAAGGAAAAACTGTTACCTCTCTCCCCCTTCCACTGCTTTCCTATATCTCTGCTGCCCTGCGTGCTCCACCATTTTCTCACCTTCCTCTGTCTCTCTTTTCCCTCAGGCCAAGAGGAACCAGAGTGACTCCATGTTGCTGCTCAGAAACCAGAAGCTGTGCTCCACTTGTCGAGAAATGAAAATGGTAGGCAAGGGGGAAGACAGAGACAGGCACGGGCATCTCAGGGCACAGCACTTCCCTTCCACGCCAAGCCCTGTGAACAGAGATAGTGATGGGGCCCATTGCAAGGAAGGTCTAGATAAAGGCTGCCAAGGAGGAACTGTTGGTCCTGGGAGCAGCATCAACTGACAGAACATGATAAGCCTTCTCCATTTCAACAAGCCAAAGGGGAACCAACATAGGTGGGCCACAATAGAGATGCAATGAGCCACTTTGCCTTGGACTCCTAAGTAACTACAGCCTCTCAGAGGCTCAGGGGGTTATGGAGCTTCTTCTCGCTCCTTAATGTAGCCCCCACACAACACATATGCACACACCCATCTCTCCATCATTACAATCAGGAGACATATAGCTTCATGTTTGGGTCTACTGTTAATTTAGGCAGCATCTCAAGAGAAAGACTGGGGGGAGAGTCTACAGTACTTTCTTGGTAGTCAGGGGTGGTGTCACCTGCTACATGTTACAGGTGGATCCCTGTAACATGTAGTGGAGAATGGTGGGAGGGGAGAAGTGTTAGGAAAATAAAGGAGAGCAAGGGAGTTGTGGAGGGAACAAAGATAAACTTCTGCCATCTGTCAGAGTTGCTGAATCAGAGTCCTGATTCAGGAAAGATGCTAGACTAGACTGGAGTTAGGCCTTTGGTTAATTTAAGAATTTGAGTTAGTGTTGGGATGGTTGGTAGTGTCAGGATAAGGAAGAGGCTTGGGTTACAAGTTAATTTAGCAACATGGTTAGGTTTGAAGTAAGGGCTGGGGGAGCATTTCTTCAACTCTGTTATCCTATAATTCTCCTTTGACCTGGGGAGGAAGGTGGGGTAAATGTGTAGGCTAAGTGTGCTTAAAACGAAGGGCAAAGAATGGAAGAAAAAATAGAAGTTGTAAGAGGGGCTCCTCCACTGAGTCCATGGCAAAAGTCTTCAGGCTAGTCGGATGTGAAAGAGTGGCAGTTTTGTGAAATTTTTATGTGGGATTTAGAAATTTAACTGAAGCTACTGGCAAAACTGCACCTGGATGTTGCTGTGTATGTTCATTTTCCACACAACTATGGTCACTGGGTTAAATATTAGCATTGGCTGGAGTCTGGAAAACTAGGATTGGGATTTCTCCTGGTCTTATTCCTGGAAGCTCTTGTCCACATTTAGAATGCACCAATCCCAGGCCTGAGCTGGCACACTGGGATGTCAGCAGCAGTCCTCTTTCTCAAGATCTCTTCCCTGACCTTTGCCCTTTTCCAGGAAGGATAGAAGTAGAGTCACAGGCTGTCATTTTGCCATTTATTGCGGCTTCTAAAAGGAAGGGCTTCAAGCATAAAAGTGCCCAGGGACCCTTCTCTACTGCTGTCAGAATCTGGTGGGAAACTACAGAAAGTCAGAAAATAAACATGAAATACCCTTGCCTCACTATATGCTGTAGCACCTCAGAGTCCTCCCAAGGGGATGGACTGCAGGTCTGCTGTAATCACTGTGACACCCCTTCTTTCTCAGCAGTGAGTTGAATTGAAATACTGGGGAAGATATAAAAAGACTCCTAGGAATAGAAGGGAACTTCCTCAGCCTAATAAACAGCAGTTTGAAAAACCAACAGCTATCATCCTACTTAGTGGTAAAAAACCAGATACTTTCCCCTAAGACTAGGAACAAGGCACCAATGTCTGCTCTTGACATTTCTACTCAACATTTTACTATACACTCTAGCCAGAAAAATTAAAATAGGAAAAAGAAATAAAGGACATCTGCATTAGAAAGGAAGAAGTACAATTAGTCTATTTGCAGATCACATGATCTTATACAGAGAGAGTCCTAAGGAATGCACAGAACTCTATTATCGCTAATAAATGAGTACAGCAGTGTGGAGGATACAAGATCAATATAATTAGCTTCTATTACTAGCAATGAACAAAATGAAGAAAACAATGCCATTTGCAATAGCATCAAAAATTATTTAGGTATAAATTTAACAAGACACACAAATGCTATACAATGAAAAGTATAAAACATCATAGAAAGAAAATTTAAAATATCCAAATACATGGAAAGAACCCCATGTTTATGGATTGGAACACTTAATATTGTAAAGATGGCTATACCCCCAACATGGTCTACATATTTAATGTAATCCTCAAAATCCCAGGTGCCATTTTTATAGAAATTTACAATATCTTAAAATTTATATTAAAATGCAAGAGATCCAGGATAGCCAAACAATCTTAAAAAAGAACAAAGTCGGAGGCCACACACTTCTTGATTTTAAAACTAACTACAACCGTATGGTCAGAACTGTGTGGTACTGCCATAAAGATAGACAAATAGATCAATGGAATAAAATTGAGAGTCCAGAAGTAAATTCTTACATTTATAAACGATTGATTTTTGACAAAGGTACCAAGACAGTTCAATGAGGAAAGAATAGTCTTTTCAATAAGTGGTACTGGGGCAGCTGTATAGATACATGTAAAAGAACAAATTTGTACCTCTTCCTCACACTATGTACAAAAATAACTCAAAATAGGTCAAAGACCTAAATGTAAGACCTAAAACCATAAAGCTCTTAGAAGAAAACATGGGTATAAAGCTTCATGACCTCAGATAAGGCAATGTTTTCTAAGATAGGACATGCAAAACACAAGCAACAAAAGAATATAGATAAATCAGTCTTCATCAAAATTTTACATTTTTGTACTGCAAAGAACAACATCAAGAACATGAAAAGACAACCAAAATATTTGCAAATCGTCAGATAAGGGATTATATCAAATAAGAGACTAGTATCTGGAATATATAAAGAACACTTACAACTCAACAATAAAAAGGCAAACACCCTAGTTGAAAAGTGAGAAAACAGTTTCAATAGACATTCTCCAAAGATCTATAGATGACCAACAAACACATAAAAAGATGCTCAATATTATTTGTTATTAAGCAAATGCAAATTAAAACCATGATGAGATACACTTTTTGTCCACTAGAATGGCTTTAATTAAAAAAAGAAAAAAAGACAGTGGATAATAGCAAGTGTTGGCCAGGATATGGAGAAGTTAGAACCCTCATCCATTGCTGATGGAAATGTAAAACAGCATAGTTGCTTTGAAAAACAGTTTAGGAAGTCCTCAAAAACTTAGACACAGAGTTACTATATGACCCAGCAATTCTATTCCTAGATATGTACCCCAGGAGTTAAAAACATATTCACACACAAACTTCTACAAGAATGTGCATAGCAGCCACATCACAATAGCTGAAAAGTGAAAATAACCCAAATGTCTATAACTTGATTCATGGAAAAACAAAATGTGGTCTATCTATATAATAGAATATTAATCATAAAACAGAATGAATCACTGAAAGATGCTGTAACATGGATGAACCTTGAAAACATTTTGCTGAGTAAAAGAAATCAGATGCAAAAGATCACATATTATATTAGTTACATTTATATAAAATGTCCAGAATAGGAAAATTCATAGAGACAGAAAATAGACAATGGTTGCCAAAGACTGGGGGGAGGAGTGAGTGAAGAGTACTTGCTAATAGCTATGTGGTTTCTTTTTGGGGTCATGAAATGTTCTAGAAGTAAATAATGGTGATCGTTTTACAACTTTCTGAATATACTAAAAACTACTAAATTATACATTAAGATGGTGGCTTATGATACATGATATCATAAACATCAACAAAACGAAATTAGCAGCTGGGCGGGGTGGCTCACGCCTATAGTCCCAGCACTTTGGGAGGCCGAGGTAGGAGGATCAACTGAGGTCAGGAGTTCAAGAACAGCCTGGCCAATATAGTGAAAACCCATCTCTACTAAAAGTACAGAAATTAGCCAGGCATGCTCGTGTGCACCTATAATCCCAGCTACTCACAAGGCTGAGGCAGGAGAATTGCTTGAACCCGGGAAGTGGAGGTTGCAGTGAGCCGAGATGGTGCCACTTCACTCCAGCCTGGGTGACAGAGCGAGACTCCATCTCAAAAAAAAAAAAAAAAAAAAAAAAAATTAAATTAAAAAATTTAAAATAAAATAAAAAAGAATTTAGCACTAGATAAATAAAAGCACAAAATGGATGAATCTCAAAAAATGTAAACAGGACCTGGTTATGTAATTACTCATATTCCTACATAACCTTGGGCCAGAAGCTCAACCATTTAGTGCAGAAGAAATACCTACTGACAGTTATGGTTGTGATTCACCAGGGATCTTTGCCTTGGTTTTATCTAGGCTGCGTTTTGTCACGTCTGCTCCAAACAGCTCGTCTTCCCCTTAATGCACCTATTTTGTAGTCCTGTTATCTGCACTGCTCTCTAATTAACACTTTCAAGCCCCTTAAAGTAGGACTGTCAAGCTAGACATACTGTAAACAGACATTCTCTAACCTATATAAAAATTGTTTTAAGATAAATTAAGTTGATTTCAACAAACATTTATTGATTGTCTGCCATGGCCCAAGTACTTAGGTAAGCTACAAAGAAAAGAAAGAAAGAAAGAAAGAAGGAAAGAAAGAAAGAAAGAACGAAAGAAAGAAAGAAAGAAGAAAAGAAAGAAAGAAAGAAAGAAAGAAAGAGAGAGGGAGGGAGGGAGGGAGAGAGAGAGAGAGAAAGAGAAAAAAAGAAAGAAAAAGAAAGAAAGAAAGAAAGAAAGAAAGAAAGAAAGAAAGAAAGAAAGAAAAAGAAAGAGAGAAAGGCAGACATAAATCCTGCCTTTAAGGAGTCAACAAATAAGTAAATAATGACAACAGAATGTAATCAATAGAAATAGATCTGATGGGGAGTGAAGGGGCAGCGAAAGTAAATATCAAGAAAGTCTTCCTTGAAAAAAAAGACTATTCAGGGTTTTCCAGAATGAATAGGAGTACACCACAGTATACTTTTTCTCACAAACAAAAATGCTGTCTTTGCAGGCAGCTTTGTTCTGATGTAACCCCTGTAGTGCAGCTCATTCATGTAAGGGCACTAGCTGGATTTAGGGGATTTAGAACAGGAATCATGCTATTTAGGAGGAGGTAGAGAGTTTCCTGCATGTTTCGTTGGAGCAGGGTCAACTTTAGATAAATTTTTGAATAAAGCAGTCTGTCTCTGGCACATTCTCATCCCCTTTTATGTTTAGAAATCTGTCCTCAGGTTCTCACTAAAGCCTTGGCTGCCCCCACTATGCCCATAAGTTCCTTGTTACCAGGTCATTTCCTTCTTCTCCCTCTTTCATCCTTTCTTCAGCTAATGAGTTAGGAGAACAAGCTGATTAAACATAGTACATTTTTGGCATTTATATAGCCTTTGTGTTCTGTTTTTTGCTATTTTCAAGCACCTCTAAAGGTCCTTGATTCATCATAATTTGTAACTTTGTTCTGTCATAAACTTAAATCATGAGTCACCTGGTACAAGTTACTTAGTGAGTAAAGTAGTTGAACACCTGCACCTACATCTTTGTGATTATCATTTTATTATTGTAGCTACAATAATTTTTGAGAAATAATGGAAAAATGCTTCCTAGTGAAAACATTCTTAAAAGAAAAACAACATCTAGTTCTATGAACAAATTTGGAAAAGTTCAAGAAAGTGATGTTTCTTAACAAAAAATACTGTAACTGCACATTGATTTTAGGTCTGTATAAAGGACACCTTTAAAATTTCAGGTGTGCTTCAAGGTGGGTTCATTCATTCCCTACGTTGATCAAAAATATTTCTTAGACATCGTGTTAGCAGCTGGAAATACAAAAACAAAGACAAGGTCTATGCCCTCATGAAGCTAAAAGTCTATTAGGGAAGCCAGACACTATGCAAGTAAATGCAATATAAAGGTTATGAGTATTTTGATACAGGAGGCCCTAAGAACAGAGCACTGGGAACTACCAAAAGTACTCCAGGAGTCAGTAGTCTCTGTGAGAAAGTGATAGTTAACCTGACACCTGGAGAATGTGTGTGGTAGGAGTGAGGGCATCTAAACAAAGATTCTAAAGATTTACTAAATCTGGGTATCTAATTTCAACGGATATCCAGGCAAGAACAAAGATTCTGACTTGAGGAAAGGGTGAAACCCTCTGGTTCATTCATATCACAAAAGGATGTATGAATGACTTTGATATCAAATACAACTCAAGTTTGCTAAAGTGGTACCTTATTTATTTAAATAAGAATGCAATTACAGGCAACATTCTAAATGAGACTTTCTTCTTGAGGTACAACCAAGAACAATGAAAATCCTAGATGATCCAAAAGTATCCTTTGAGAATTTTATGAGTCATAGGTAAGTCAACAATTTAAATCAGGACATGACTTTAATTCTGGTTATATCAGTTTGAGGACATAGGAGAGTGGATTGAGAAGCATAGTAAGAGGAATGTTTAAGGCCTGCTTAGGGAGCAGGCTTCTTGACTGGTTTTATTTCCTGGTTAAACCAAATCATTCGATCAAAAAAGAAAGTTCACCTTTTTGTTTGAACAACTACTGAAACTACTGCAGAAAGTATAATCTTCCTTTCCACCTTCACAAGAACAATATAAGAAATATGATAGGAAATTTCTTTGATAATTCAGGTGGAACTAAATACAAATTGACAACATAGATGACATATCTAATTTGCAAGATATGGGAGATAACACATAATCTTTCCTTAGTCCGAGATATTCTCTGCTACGTTCTATTAACTAAAATTCCTCTTATCAGTTTGTTTGGTTGTTATTTAAAGCTTTTTTAAAAATCAAGATCGAGTATAACAGACACAAAATCCAGTTGGAATTCTGATTAGCTGTTGTTGTTGAGATGGAGTCTCTCTCTGTCACCCAGGCTAGAGTGCAGTGGTACAATCTTGGCTCACTGCAATCTGCCTCCCAGGTTTAAGCAGTTCTCCTGTCTCAACCTCCCAAGTAGCTGAGATTACAGGTGCCCACCGTCACGGCTGGCTAATTTTTTTTTTTTTTTGGTAGAGATGGGGTTTAACCATTTTGGCCAGGCTGTTCTCAAACTCCTGAACCTCTGGTGATCCTCTTGCTTCGGCCTCCCAAAGTGCTGTGATTACAGGCGTGAGCCACCATGCCCTGCCTGGTTTTTCAAAGACTTTTTTTCTGCTATATTTAACTATCAGGCAGGGAAGAAGAATTGTGTTTTTACTTTATTAAAACATACAAAACAGGCCAGGGATGGTGGCTCACGCCTATAATCCCAGCACTTTGGGAGGCCAAGGCAGGTGTATCACCTGAGGTCAGGAGTTCAAGACCAGCCTGGCCAATATGGTGAAACCCCATCTCTAGTAAAAATACAAAAATTAACTTGGCATGGTGGCAGGCCCCTGTAATTCCAGCTACTTGGGAGGCTGAGGCAGGAGAATCACTTGAACCCAGGAGGTGGAGGTTGCAGTGAGCCGAGATCACGTCATCGCACTCCAGGGAGGAGTGAAACTCCATCTCAAAAAAATAATAATAATAATTGCAAAAGATGGACTCATTCTGAATAAGACATCAATATAGGTCAAACTGCATTTCAATAGATGGTTGGAAAGTAGATACATGCTCACCTTTACATGTGACTAACCAAAAAAGCTGTATGTAATCTAATGGCAATTTTAATTTTTTCCCTGATACAGAGAGCAATGATGTGGAAAAATAAATAGGTTTTTTTGATAACCTTATGTTGAATAGTGATACATGTTCTGATTCCTTTTATGACCTTAGGGCCATTTGTTCCAGATACACTGACAACATGTACCCAGTTCCTGGGCCATGGTAGCAGACAAGGTTATGAAGGAAGTGACTATTTGAGCAGTACAAGCTCCATCACTAATAACGTTGACCTATACTGACGCTATACCTTTAAACAGTGCTTATATGGTTAAAGTAATTCTAATAAATATTCATTATGAACTTTAAATGTAAAAGCTGAACCATCTAAAACCAGAGAATTGTGAGCAAAAGTTCACTCTTCTGCGAAATAACCTTTTGAAATTTGTTGCCCCATTTTACTTATCTTGCAAGTTTTGTACTTTATTTAAAGGACAAAATCCCAGAACGTTAATTAGTTATATTCTAAACAAATAGCTCTTATTCCTTTAAAACTAAGACCAAGGATTGAGCCAATCCTAAAATCATGTCAATATCAACCAGACATATCATGAGATTGATTGTTGCATTCTTTTCTTCAGTGTTATGAAGGAAAACATACCACTTCTGTTTGAGCTAAAGTGGCTATAAAGCAAGGGCCTGGTTCTATCTGTAGCTTTTAAAATCTGTTTTCATAGTTTTTAAGTATCACTGCATATGTAGGCAAGTAGAATTATCTTCACCGAAATTATGGTTTTTTAAAAAGTGACTTTGCAGCCATTGCAGGAATTAAAATATAATACTTATTGAATGAAAAGAATGAAGGAAAAAAGGAAAAGAGGGAGAAAAGATGGGAGGATAGATACATAATTGTTGAATTATAGAATAAATAGATCTTGGCCAGGCACAGTGGCTCACGCCTGTAATCCCAGCACTTTGGGAGGCCAAGGTGGGCAGATCACCGGAGGTCAGGAGTTCAAGATCAGCCTGACCAACATGGAGAAACCCTGTCTCTACTAAAAATACAAAATTAGCCGGGCATGGTCGCGAGCACCTGTAATCCCAGCTACTCAGGAAGTTGAGGCAGGAGAATTGCTTGAACCCAAGAGATGGAGGTGCAGTGAGCCAAGATCGTCCCATTGCCCTCCAGCCTGGGCAACAAGAGCAAAACCGCATCTCAAAAAAAAAAAAAAAAAAAAAAAAAA